TTGGTAGCTGGAAGCGCGGTGCCCGCCTCTCCCGCTTGTGTCCCCCCAGCATGGAGGTGGGCGTCTGCGCCGAGGCGTACGGGCAGGAGATGGCCACGAGCCGGCGCCACATCAACAGCGCCTTCATGACCTTCGTGGTGCTGGACGACGAGGGCCGGCCCCGCGCGCTGCCGCTGCTCGCGCCCGAGCCCGAGGTGAGCGCGGCGGACCCTGGGCCCGCAGGGCTGAACCCTTCCTTGTCGCGGCGCTGTGGGATCCCATGACCAGCGCAGCTTGTTCTTGTTTGCCTCAAAAGGCCCAAATTTTATCGTGTTCTTTGATTCACTGCAAAACAAATGCTGTGATGTTATGATGGTGACCAGCTTGCTCCATAGCGAGTGAACCGAGTGCTCTGGGTGACTACTAATAAAGTAAACCATTTGCCCTCGTTGGGGAGTAGCCATGCGAGGCTCAGCCGCAAGTTGCAGCTCGCTTTTCCTCTAATTCAGGGGAAATTTTTCATTTTCCCCCAGTGAGGGGAGTTGTGGATGGGCTGGAGGATGTGACTGATGTTTCGGAGCCCATCACAGTGCGGGGACAAAAACATGCCAAAAACCAACACGGGATTTTTCCTCTTTGCTTGTTTCCCATTAACCTAAAGTGCTTTTCCTCTTGGCCAGGATGGAGAGAGGAGGTACAGAGAAGCCAGCGCCAGGCAGAAGATTCGGCTGGACAGGTGAAGGGAGCAGCAGGGACAGAGGCTCGTGCCTCCGGGTGCTGGGGGCCCATAGGTTCCATCTGTGCCTGCTGTATGGACAGCGGTTCCCTTTCTGTAGGAAATACATCGTGTCCTGCAGGCAGTCCGAGGTGCCGCTCTCCGTGCCCTGGGACCAAAGCAACAAGGTATGGCCCCACAGCAGATGTTTTGGCTGCCTGGGTGCCTGTCTGGCACTGGGGGTCCCCATGGAGGGGTCGCCTGCACCGCTGATGGCTCCTCATGCCCCCGCTGCAGGTTTATCTGAGCTACAACAATGTCTCTGCACTGAAGACTCTGGTGGCGAAATCAAACTGGGTCCTTGCCAGAGAAAAGGAGAAGGTACTGGGCGTGCTGGGGCTGCGTGGGCGCTCCCCCGCCGCGCCGCTCACCGCGCCGCTCCGCAGGTGAGGATGTACACGCTGGAGGAGGACCAGTTCCTCTCCTTCCGCATGGAGATCACGGCCCGCATCTCGGCGGCGCAGGCCTTCTCCCTGCTGTCCGACCTGCGGCGGCGGCACGAGTGGGACAGCCACTATGTGTGAGTGATGGCGCGTGGCGCGGG